CTTTAAGCATTAAACTTTTAGAATGTCGAATTTTCATTTGTCCTAACTTTTTTTGCCACAAGAGTTTCCTCTCTGTAATTCTTATTGATATGGTTGATTTAAATTGTGCGGGAAATTTGAAATCATATGTTAAATCAAATTTCGCGCGCAATTTTAATCTACCTTACCGACTAACAACATAGATAGTAAACTCTATAGTGTCAAAAAGTTAGGACAGATGAAAATTCGACATTCTAAAAGTTTAATGCTTTAGAAATTCGACGTTTTGAAAATTCTATGTTTTATAAATTTGGTACTTTGGAAATTCACTCATACGAAAATTCGGTTAACTACAGATATGGTTAAATAAAAATTTGATTAAATAAAAATTATTTTAAATATAATTTCAACTAAATATAAATAGTTGTACATCAAAATTATGTTAAATATAAATTCTGTGAGATTATAGCTCAATTACATATATTTTACGTTACATAAAAATTCGATAATATAGAAATACTACGAAATGAAAATTCTGATAATTGACAAATTTTTTAGGTTATAATCCTTTTAAATAAACTTTTATGCACTTAAAATTTCATTTAAGCAAAATTTTTATTTTTTAAAATACATACTAAAAAAAAACGCTGAACAACTAAATGTTCTATTCTTTCATATTTCCCTACATGGATATTTTTATAAATTAATATACAGTCAAATGAAAAAAGTAGTTAATAAATATTTTTTCAAATACTAATTTCTTGTGATAAAAATTTGTTTAAAAGAAAACTCGAATTATTGCAGTTCTAATAAGTAGATATTTTAAGTATTTTATTTCGATACCACAAAAATTGTTGCAAGTTCAATGTGGGGAATATTCATGCGTCCCATTTTTTGACATCCGAGAGTCATTGTACGGCAAATATCTTCGACTTAAATAAACTTTTTGTTTTTTTTATTTCAGTCCCTCAGAAGGCCGCAATCACTGCAGCGCAGTGGGAAAACTGGATTTTTTTTATATAGCGAATAACTCTTAATTAAAAAAGAATATTTTTCTTTGAAAAAATTACAAAATGTTGACTATTTATACAAATATGTATACATGTACAAAACTGTATAAAAAATTAGATGCAATAATTTCCCTGAAAAAAATTCCTAAAAATCACCGTTTTCTTCAGTCACTCGCACTAAACTTTTATAGTAATGTAAATTTTATAAAAAAAGTATAACAACTTTTAATGTTTCAAAGATTTATTCACGATTATAAAATAAAATGTATGTAGTTCTACAATTATAAATAAAAATATAATTTTGTTTAATATAAAATGTGATTTTATTTCGAATTTATAATAACAATAACAATAATAATAATAATAATAATAATAATAATAATAATAATAATAATAATAATAATAAGTCAAGACTATTTAATAAGTAAACTGTTTTCGAAGAGCCCAAAAATAATGAAGCTAAATCCCATAAAAAAAGAGGAAAAAATGTTGCATTTTAAGCAATTCGGATATTTGAATTTTTGATAATATTAGATAATTTTAAATTTTTTATCAAAGAGTCGAGGCTATTCAATAAGTAAACTATTTTCGAAGAGCCCAAAAGTAATGAAATTATATTTAAAATTGCACTGGAATGTCGTAAAAGTTTGACCTATAAATCATGGAAAAGGTATGGAATTTTAATTTCGGATTTCTGTAGGAATCTTGTTATTTATTTACAATAAAAATTTAAGTATTACTTACATATAGAATCTATTTCTTATTTAAAGTAGAGAGTAATGCAATTTAATATTCACTATATAAAGAAATAACAAAATAATAACAATACACAATATTTTATTTAATTTGAAAATAATTTTAATTTATGCACATTAATTAATTAATTAATTAATTAATTAATTCATTCATTCATTCAATCATTCATTATAAATAGATAAAAGAAACTTGAACTCTTCATTTAGAAGCGAAATATTTAGACAAATAAGAAATATTCACTACTTTTTTTTAACGATCATCTTACTGACTTCTAAATAAATCAATATTACATTAAATATACATAATAAATTCACAATTACACAATAATAAGAATAACAATATTAATAATTATACTATAAACAGATTAATATTTATAAAAATTTGTAAAACACATATTCATATTACTAGAGCCATCTATGATTGTAATAGATAATCACAATTTAATTTAATTACCTTATAATAAAAACTATAATATAAATTAAAATAATCATAATAATAGTGATACTTATATAACAAAAAAATAAACATTTACTGACAAGTAATTAGTAAACAAACAAAAAAATTTTACTCAATAAAAAAAATTGTCACTTACCAAAACGATTTCAAATCTCGCGCACTTTCAAAATTCCCTAGGAAGAACATATTACATAGATAGTAAACTCAGATGTTAAATTCTCTTCGATAAAATGAACATTCGAAGTTTTAAAAATTCGATCAAATTAACATTCGGAGTTTTAAAAATTCTATCAAATTAACATTCGAAGTTTTGAAAATTCGATGTAATGAGCATTCGAAGTTTTGAAAATTCGAACAATTGAACATTCGAAGATTTGAAAATTCGATGAAATGAGCATTCGAAGTTTTGAAAATTCGATCTAATGAGCATTCGACGTTTTAAAAATTCGATCAAATGAACATTCGAAGATTTGAAAATTCGATCTAATGAGCATTCGAAGTTTTGAAAATTCGATCTAATGAGAATTCGAAGTTTTGAAAATTCGATGTAATGAGCATTCGAAGTTTTGGAAATTCGATGAAATGAGCATTCGAAGTTTTGAAAATTCGATGACATGAACATTCGACTTTTTAAAAATTCGATCTAATTAACATTCGATGTTTTAAAAATTCGATGAAATAAGCATTCGAAGTTTTGGAAATTCGATGAAATGAGCATTCGAAGTTCTGGAAATTCGATGAAATGAGCATTCGACGTTTTGAAAATTCGATGAAATAAGCATTCGAAGTTTTGAAAATTCGATCAATTTAACATTCGAAGTTTTAAAAATTCGATCTAATGAACATTCGAAGTTTTGAAAATTCGATGAAATGAGCATTCGACGTTTTGAAAATTCGATCAAATGAACATTCGAAGATTTGAAAATTCGATCAAATGAACATTCAAAGTTTTGAAAATTCGATCTAATGAGCATTCGACGTTTTGAAAATTCGATGAAATGAGCATTCGATGTTTTGAAAATTCGATGTAATGAGCATTCGACGTTTTGAAATTTCGATCAAATTATCATTCGATGTTTTAAAAATTCGATGTATTGAGCATTCGAAGTTTTTAAAATTCGATGTAATAAGCATTCGATGTTTTAAAAATTCGATGAAATGAGCATTCGAAGTTTTGGAAATTCGATGAAATGAGCATTCGAAGTTTTGGATATTCGACGAAATGAGCATTCGACGTTTTGAAAATTCGATAAAATAAGCATTCGAAGTTTTGAAAATTCGATCTAATGAGCATTCGATGTTTTAAAAATTCGATGAACTGAGCATTCGACGTTTTGAAAATTCGATCAAATTAACATTCGACGTTTTAAAAATTCGATCAAATTAACAATCGATGATTTAAAAATTCGATGAAATGAGCATTCGACGTTTTGAAAATTCGATGAAATAAGCATTCGAAGTTTTGAAAATTCGATCTAATGAGCATTCGACGTTTTGAAAATTCGATGTAATAAGCATTCGGAGTTTTGAAAATTCGATGTAATAAGCATTCGAAGTTTTGAAAATTCGATCAAATCAACATTCGAAGTTTTGAAAATTCGATGAAATGAGCATTCGATGTTTTAAAAATTCGATGAACTGAGCATTCGACGTTTTGAAAATTCGATCAAATTAACATTCGATGATTTAAAAATTCGATGTAATGAGCATTCGAAGTTTTGAAAATTCGATGAAATGAGCATTCGAAGTTTTGAAAATTCGATAAAATTAACATTCGACGTTTTAAAAATTCGATCAAATTAACAATCGATGATTTAAAAATTCGATGAAATGAGCATTCGACGTTTTGAAAATTCGATGAAATAAGCATTCGAAGTTTTGAAAATTCGATCAATTTAACATTCGAAGTTTTAAAAATTCGATCTAATGAACATTCGAAGTTTTGAAAATTCGATGAAATGAGCATTCGACGTTTTGAAAATTCGATCAAATGAACATTCGAAGATTTGAAAATTCGATCAAATGAACATTCGAAGATTTGAAAATTCGATGAAATGAGCATTCGACGTTTTAAAAATTCGATGTAATGTGCATTCGAAGTTTTGAAAATTCGATCAATTTAACATTCGATGTTTTAAAAATTCGATCAATTTAACATTCGATGTTTTAAAAATTCGATCTAATGAACATTCGAAGTTTTGAAAATTCGATGTGTTGAGCAATCGACGTTTTGAAAATTCGATATATTGAGCATTCGATGTTTTGAAAATTCGATGTATTGAGCATTCGATGTTTTGAAATTCGATGTAATGGATATTCGATCGATTTGATTTTTGGGAGATTTCATACGACCGAAATTATTGAGCAGTTAAAGTTTGAATTTTACCGCCAAAACAGTAGCGCGCTCTAGATTAAAGTCAGTTTCACAGTTCTCTGCTTGACACAATTATACGTATCTTTATGTATATGAGAAAGCGAGGTGTTGCGTAAAATTTAAAAGTAAAATAGCAATGTAGATTTCTCTATTGTAATTTAAATATTTATAGACTTTTTGTTACATAGATGGAGGTATAAAAATGAAAAAATGTAAAAGTAATTCTATTCATAGTGTGCAGTAAGTGGTATAAGGAACCAGTGAAATCGAGTGAAATAAAAAAAGAACAGCCGCTGTAAAAGAGCAAATCACATGTGTGAAAACATTTATGTATATTTATGAACGGTGGGAGCGGCAAAAGGTTAAATTAGTTCTGCTGAGCAACACTGGCGCAAAGTGGCGTTGCATTTTGTTTCCACCGATTAACAGAAGAAGCCTCACCCTCAGTACCCCTATACATTGGCATTTCTCCGTTCCCAGTCTCCACGCGAGTATCATACCGTGAAGATGAAGAAAAATGTTAAAACTGTCATTGTCACGTTTCTGTCAAGTTCAAGTATTATATGAATCAAAATCTTGACGCGCTTAAATGTTATTCATTATACAATTGTGACAACTGTGTGATTGACAAATTATCAATCTGGCACTATGCATGTGTTTACATTAATTTCCAGTTTTTAAATATTTGTCGCTGGTTTAAAAAAAATCGGGATGTGGAGTTCAAAACGTTTTTTCGAATAATAAAGAGAGAGATTGGGTGGAGGCGGTACTAAAAGTGACTAAACAATTGTTATTTATCGTAAATATAATTCAATTGTTTTGTGAACTCGTTTAAAGTTGAAAGTGTGCTTCTAAACCTTTTGCATATACATAAAGGTGAAAACGAAAGTGTGCGTGTGTCGCATTCCGGATGGATATTTGAGGACTCGTCTACTTCATCCGTCCATACATCCATCCATTTCTTCATCCTTCCTGCCTTCCACCCATTCATCCAACCAATCATTCATCCAAATACAGACACGCTCACGCCCACACACATTCCTCATCAATGTGTTAGTATTGAAATTCATAAATTCATCCCGTTTATAAATACACACGCGAATAAAATTCCTTTACATCTCAATTTTCCCCCTTTGAAGGAGAAAAAAAAGGAAAACATTTTTCTTTAAGTTCATTCTTTAGTATCAGTTACATTCTGAATCAATGTACTTGTAGTACTTTCATTTCTTTTTTGTATGTCGCTTATGTTTCCTTTTCATCTCATTGCACATGACAAGAGATCAGTTTTAAATTAAATTCTATTCCAAAATAATACACTATGGAGTCAAAGGGAAATTGGCCTAAAGAAAGCCTGGAGGTATCGATGCCGAAAAAATTTCAAAGCAACGAATCTGACAAAATCGAGAAAGAGAGGAAGTTCAGTTGGCCTATATGTATCCTCTGTATTGTCAGTTTAACTATTTCCGGCGTTCTTGTTTACCGCGAGTATCTCCTTGAGTCCAGGATAGCCTATCTTGAATCACAGTGTCAAATTCAACCAGATCTCATTTATCAACGGCTACGACGAGAATTTGAGCAGCAATTTGATGTTCATTCACCACGTCCCGAGGGAGATAAAATTTTTCGATTAAAAAGGGATGTCGAGTGTAATTGTCCTGCAGGTTAGTAGATTTATTTTTTCCTCTCTTTAAATTTAAAGTTTAAACATAACCTTGAATTGTAAAATTGTTTATAAAATACTATTATTTATAATTTGAAATTAAAAAGAATTTTTTCTTTCAAAAGATTTCTGATAAACAAGAGAGAAAAATTTGCTCTGGAATTTCAGATTTGGCATGACTTTCATATTTTTCGAATCTCTATATTATCTAAATATTGTCAAAGCATGAAAAGGGATTTCTTTTCAAATGTTTTCAAAAAATTAAAAGGACTTTTTTATTAAAAAACAAAACAATGAATTGTAGATGAAAGGAAGGATTTAATAATGAAAAACTGAATGAATCTTTTGTTTATTTTATTTAAATGAAAGGAATGTTCTGTTGCATTTAAACGCAGATAAAAGGACAATGTAAATAATAAAATTAAAACGTGGAAATTAATTTTAGATAAAATTGCTTCTTTACAAAAATGAAAAAATTTTGAATTATGAACAATGTTACAATTCGAGAAAAATTATTCTCTTAAATTTTCTTTCTAAAGTTTTCTAAATAAAATTAAAAACGGAAATTGTTTTCTATTTTCACTCAGCGTGTTTAGTTTTTCTATTTTAAAATACAAATGAAAATGAGAAATAGTTTAGAAACAAAATACTCTGGAAAATAAGGACAATTGACAGTGTCATGTGTCTTAATTCCGGGGAAAAATCTCTTTCAAACATTGTAGATGAAGGATATGTGCAATGTAAAAGATTGTAATCTTGAATGGACCATTCTCTTCCGCATAGTAGATGCGACGTTGCCGTATTTTCAGTATATAATTCTCGATATTCCTTAGGACAATATAGGGGAAGGAAGAGGGATGAGGTTTATAAAAATCTCTTGGAAATAACTTAAATTTCTTTACACGACAAACAAAGGCAAATATTGAACAAAACGAACAAAACTAAATTTCTCAATTTCAACCAAAGAACCTACAAGAATCTAAATTAACATTTTATTGTCTAAATTCTAAATTCTTTCCTCGAAGAGAAAAATATCTTTTATTCTCTCCTAAAATTATTTTCAATTAAAGATACGACAATTTTACAATAAGAAGATTATTCTCGAATATTCTCCTCCTTTTAAATTGTCAATTGTTTTATAATTTAAAAATACAATTGGGAAAATTGATTATTATGACACATATATTTATAAATATATCCGAATCATTCACCTTGGAATAGATTCAAATATAATAAGGTTTCAATGGAATTTATGTTTCAAATTATAACCCATATCTTTAAACAATGCGACGAGACGCCACGCCGGATTTTCACGTAAATTGTTCACGTCCGTATGACAAGGGGACAGGAATACAATCATCTCATTCAATCAAGTTAAAGCACGATATATCACTGTATTAATATGTAATATGAATCTCTCGTGTGGTCAAAAACGAAATTAATTCATTTTTCAAAAAAGAAATTTTTCCTTTTCGAATTATTTTCTTCTTTAATTTTGAGAAGAATGATGTAAATTTAGCATATGGAAAAAAATTTTCTTTTCTTTTATATAGGAAAATAAAAAAATTTATACTTACATATATTTATATTTTTTTAACAAGTCAATTGTAGTTTTACCTATATTTTTTATTATTTTTTAATTATTAATTCATTGTAAGTAATTTTGTATGCTTTCATAATTTAATTATTTAAATTTGTTATTTTTTATCCTCTTTGTTTCTATTTTATTTCATTTATTTCTATATTATTTTTCTTAATTATTATAATTTTTTTATATTAAATATAATTTTTTATTATTTTTTGTTATTTTTAAATTTACAATTGTTATTAATTCCGATTAGTGAAATTTACAACAGGATTTTTTTAGGAGAAAAAAGTATTTTTCTATTTAAATTTTTATAAATTTTAGTTACACTTTAGTTCTTTAGTTTCACATTTTTTTTTAATTATATAAGTAGTTTTTTAAGATATTTTTATTAAGAACATTTTTAGTCTGTCCAAGTTTAAATAAATAAAATAATAAATAAATTTTTGTCTAAAAATTAATATTTGTCTAGTATTTTTAGATCAAAAAAGAAAATTAGAAAGAGAACAGAAGTAAATAAATAGAAAGTAAACAGAGAAAAATTTGTAACTTATTAATTAATAATCGTTTTTTGTTTCATTACAAATGTTGCATTATTAATTTGAATAAATAATAAACTCGAATATTACAAATTTAACATTATTTTCGTTTGTTTATAACAAACTTTACTGGTATATATTTGAATTTTTTTTCCTTGTTTAATTCTAAATGGAAGTTTGACTTCCTCTATTTGAATTAGCATGGATCGAATATTCGATCCGATTCCATTTAAATTTCGAAGCACATCTCTATTTTTAATCTCTTGATAGGACAACTTTTTTTTCTAAACGAAGGAAAACAATTCGTTTTCATTAGTCACAATATTTGTGACTTAAATAAACTAAAATGGTGAAAAAATTTTTTCGGATTAATTATTTCTTTGATAATGGGATTTTTTTTGTATTCCTACCATAAAAAAGAGAGACTTTTTATTTGTTTCAAATAAATTTTATTTGGAGAAAAAAAATGTTTCCCTATAAAGTTTCGAACGTTCAAATGAACGACGATATTTTTGTTTTTTTTTCATTCTTTAATTTTTAAATAACAATTATTATACTGAAAAGAATTTACTTGATCAGGGTTTCCACAAAAAATTAATTTCGATTTTCCCTGACTTTTCCCTGATTTACAGACAAAATTTTGACTTTTTCCCTGACCCTAAAGAATATTCAGATTCCTTGGCAAGAATTCTAATATTTTTATAAGTAATACAATTTTTCACAACAATTTAATTATTTAAAAAAATGTAATACAATTCGTTGTAAGAATACAATTTTAAATGAAATCCTCGAAAAATGTAATTATTTTCAAAATTTTTTGCAAGAATTCAATTACATTTCACAAATAATGAAATTCAAATATTTTCAAAATCTACTATTTTAATCAAATTTCTCAAAAGAATTCAATTATTTTCATAAATAAATAAAATTCCTCAGAGGAATTCAATTATATTCATAAATAATAATATTCTTCGCAGGACTTCAAGTATTTTTTAAAAAATTTAATAAACATTCGTTGCGAGACTTCAATTATTTTCTAAATAATAAAATTTTTTACAGAATCTAAATTATTTATAATACAATAAATTTTAAGTAAATTCTTCGAAAAATGTTATTAATTTTAAGAATTTTATTAAAATTCTTCGATAGAAATAAATTAACAATTAAAGGTTTAATTTATTAAATTAACAGTTATCAATTATTTTTAATAATTTTTGCAAAAGTTCCTAGAGAATTTTCAAATCCATTTGTTTACAATTAAATTTTACGAAATTTTGATTATTCGAAAATTCTTCAATTCAATATTTAGAAAATAAAAACTTAAAATAATTTATAAAAAAATTCAATAAATTAAACTTTTTCCAAATTCAATTATTTCTAAAAATTCACGCCATAATGCTTTTAATATTCAATTATTATCTAAAATTTTAACTGAAATTTATTTTTAAATCAATTTTTATTAGAAAATTGTACGAGAATTCAATTATTTAAATAAAAAAGGAATACAATGTATTGAATAATTGCATGTTTCTCAAAATTAAATTCGCATAAAGAATTCGAAAAAAAATGTTATTAAGGGCATTTGAACCTTGATGACGTTACAGTTTGTACAAAGCATGTGTGACGTCATCAAGGTTCAAATGCCCTTAAAAATAATTGAAATTCTATGAAGAGTTTTATTATTCATGAAAATAATTGAATCTCTATAAAAAAATTTTATTATTTATGAAAATAATTGAATTATTGCAAAAAAATTTATGAAAAATTTGTAAATAGTTGTGAAACTTTTATTATTTATGAAAATAATTTCATATTTGCTTATAGAATTTTATAAAAAAATTTCAAAATAATTGAATTTTGAAGAAGAATTATATTATTTTTAAATATAATTGAAATTTTGATGAGAATTTTTATTAAATTCATTGAAAATTGAAATTTTCTAAAATTTCAAATTAAAACCTTTTGAAGTTCATTTATTTATGAAAATTGTAAACACAAATCTTTTAAAATTGAATTAATTTTTAAATATTTAAATGAAATTATTCATTTAATAATTTATAAGTAATAATTTTGTAATAGTTCTTAAAGAATTAAAAGCGTTATTGTCAGAAATATAATAATCTTTTGAATTCTAAAAATTAAATTTTTTCTAGTACTTTTAAAAAAAATTCCCTGACTTTTACCTGATTTCCCTGATCTGTGGCAACCCTGTTGATTCAAATAAACGATTAATTGTCTATTATTAATTAAATATTTACTTAATTGAACCAAATTATTTCTTTTTTTTCTTTTTTTGAATCAGTTAAATAATAATATTTAAATACCGAAATTATTTATTCAAATACGATTTATTTGATTTAAAATAATGAAAATCGAGATAAACATTATTTGATTCAAGTAAATATATTTGATGATAGACAAGTAATTGTTTATTTGAATCAAAATCAGTTTTTCTTTTCAGTTTATGCTTTTGTTTAAAAAAAATAAATTGTTACAACTAAATAAATATTTAATTTACTTTTAATAATAATTATACAATAAATACATAACAATAATTAATTTTAAATAATAATTACATACATACTTTTAATAATAATATTTTAATATTTAAATAAATACATATTTAAAAAGAAAATAAACTTCGGTTATTTGAACGTTTACAAATTTAGGAGCACCAAGTAAAAATTTTATTTGTGTCGAATAAAATTTTTATTCAAAATAAATAATTTAGTAAATTATTAGAAAAAAATATATTTAGGACTTGAACCAATTAGTTTTTATTTAAATCAATTAAATGGCGTTTGCTTTAAATACTGAAATTATTGCGGTTTAAATATACTGATTTGAATCAATTTATTTGATTAGAATAAAAATTAT